ATGGTAATAGTCGCCCCTGTTGTGGGCATTTACTTGAACCACATCTCTGTGGATCTGGGAGAACAGATAGTGTTTACTGGGCAGAAATGTGCTTGCTTAGTATCTGCCGATCCCCGCTAGACTCTGAGATCCTTGAGAGCATAGCTGTGTCTCTCTCGTCCACCTTGAGCACAATGCTTGGCATGTCATTTCTGGGGTGGTGACCCGGGTAGGCCACATAAGCTCCCCGTGGATGGCAAATAAGTCACGACAGGGGTTTGGATGCAAGGAAGACAGGAGGTGCAAATGAGAGGTATTCTCCAATCCATGCCTTCAGATTACCGTGAAGGTTACAGGGCTGAAATATGAGTCTAAGTGTGAGATGATCAGAATTAAGGCCTCCTGGTGTGGTACTAGTTCTCTAGGGCCCTAGGCACAGCCAGGTGGGTGAGAATAATTTCACCCAGTAGTGCAGAGGACATTTGAATGCGTTGGATCTTTATGGTTCTTTTTGGGGGAACTTTTAAGCAATTAATCTGTGTTTTCATTTCTCTGATTAGAAGTAAAGTTTTCGCCAATTTACTAAATTTACATTCAATGACATAAATGAATTGAAGTCAGGCAGCTTTTGATTAGTGCTATCAACTGAGCGGATTATTTGAGGTACTCTAGAAACAATGTTTTGATCCATGAAACAAAATTCTGTCCTCACCCTGACAATCACGGATCTGTCTGGTGCTAAGCAGATTTATAGCTTTTCAGAATAATGGAAACCCATTGGTGATCATAACAGGTCAGTAAAGAGGGCATGCTCTGAGTGGGGAAGGTTGTCTGGTGCCAGGAGATATTGTTAACGAAAGGAAGACCTGCAACAGAACATCTGAAATTTGGTGATCTTCTGAGGTGTTGAAGTCAGCTTCTAAGCATTACCAAAAAAATGAAGAATGATTACCAAAAAAATGAAGCGGAGACTAAGCTTCCCAGTGAGTGTCAAAGGAGGCATGCTTTGGAACAAATTTGAGTGGATTATAATGCTCTCTCTCAATCCCGTCTTTCACTAATACTAACCAGTTTTTGCCAGATCACGCACACTGATAGGTGTGAATTCGAGTCCCTGCTGAGTAAGTCAGCTCTACGTGTCTTTCCACAGAATGAAGAAGGAAAGTCTCTGCAAAAGAAAGAACCAAGTCACAAAAGCCAGCTTCTTAAAAATTACTGGTGTAGACATGGAGTCTCTTAAAGACTTCAGCTCTAAGTTGACATTATTTATTGTTTGTCTCTGACAGAATTCACAAGGAACTCAAATGGAAATGATATTTTTCTTGGAATAGAGTCTATATTTACTGATTTAAAGAAAAATGCGTGTGCCTGGGTGGTTCAGATGGTTAAGCATCTGCCTTCAGCTCAGGTCATGATCCCAGGGTCCTGGGATCCAGCCCCACATCGGGCTCCCTGCTTAGCGGGAACCCTGCTTCTCCCTTTCCCTCTGCCTCTCTCCCTGTTCATGATCTCTCTCTCTCTCTGTATCTCTGTGTCTCAAATGAATAAATAAATATCTTTAAAAAATAAAATAAAAAAGAAAAATGAAAATATATTTAAAAATAGGAATGCACAAACCAGTTTTTAACATAAGATAAACCCATGATTCTTCAGGAAGTTTCCAGATGATCTTAAATGAATATAAAGACACACGTCCCAACATTTGGCCTGCCTGAGTAATTTATCCTCTGGTTTGTGACAACACCATATACATGTTTGCATGCTCCTTTGAGTGAATTCACGGTGCCGAGCAGCAGTTTATGATTCCTATCACTGTCACCCTTGATTGACCACTATTAATAATTAGAAGCTTATTTTTAATCAACCGTAGTATCCAGCACTGGAATCCTATTTTAGAAAGCTAAATATTTTTTAAGAAAAACCTCAGACTGTTGCTTCAGGGGGTATTTACACGAAGAGTAATACTAAGGCATAGTTTTAGGAATGAAGACAACCTGAACCTAGGAGGACAAAAATAGAGAAAAACAGGAAGTGTCACTAAACAGTAATCCCATGATAATGTCCTCCAAGTAGAAATGTTCAATGTGCTCACTTTCAGCTGTGTTTGCCGTGACAGCATGACCGTGGGCATTTGGTGCTTACTACTGTAGGACTTCCACATTTTTGTTTGTTTCTTTGTTTTCTTTTAAGATTTTATTTATTTATTTTGAGAGAGAGAGCACGTGCACGCACCGGGGGGGCAGAAGGGGAGGGAGAGAGAGGGAAAGAGTCTCAAGCAGACTCCACTTCGAGCGCAAAGCCTGACGTGGGGCTCAGTCTCATGACCTTGAAACCATGACCTGAGCTGAAACCAAGAGTTGGACACTCAACCGACTGCGCCACCCAGGCTCCGTAGGACTTGCAAAGAGCCTGCACCTAACACCTGGGAGGCACTCTGTTTTATGTGCATGATAGCGTTCAAACATCATAAAAGGGCTGATTGTGGAAATTCAGGATATCCTTTTTTAGATGTATGGCATGACATTTAACGAAGGCATTTTTTACAAAACTGTGAATTTCACCCTCTTGGTCTGGCCAGTTCTTTTTCTTTGGTGCACCTCGCTCCTGAGTCCTTTGGAGTCAGCTTTTGTGTGCAGACTGAAGGTGTTCTGTTCCACGTTGCAGCAATCTTCTGTTTCTGCCATTGCTTCTGATGGGAGCACTTGGAGACTTTCTTGGTTTCTAGAACATAGTGCTCTAGCGCAGGATGAAGTGCTTACCCCTAGTTGTTCTGCTATGGCTGTTCCTTGCTTTACCGACCACCTGGGTTTCCCAGAAAAGGCAACACAAGAGTGAGAAAAGAAGGGACCCCAGGGCAGCATGCATCGTGTGCATCGCCTCTTCCCAGTTGTGAACGCAGGCTATGAAATTACCACCGTAGCCAGATATGCAAATAAGTGAGTGGATCATATGTTCCTAATCTGTGAGTGTTGCTTCTGGCTTCCCCCAGCTGGCGGTCGGGGCCACTCCTCCATTACTGCTGTGACTCACGTCACACCGGAGAGCCTACCCATGCCCGGCCAGGACTTCAGCCAGTGACACGGCACGTAGAAACAGACGAGGCAAAACTCGGGACAGGCCCAGGCAGGACGTGCCTGTTGCTCTCAACAGTGCAGTCTGGCCTCAAGACCTAAGCCTGCCCCGGCGCCTGCGGGGAGCCCACCTTGGCCTTGCCTTGCCCCTTGTCACCCTCACCTCTGACTCTCCTGTCTCAGCTCTTCTGTGGATTCTGCGTGACCAAAAGAGACCCCTCCCACTTGGACTTCATTTTTTTCCCCATTAGGTTGGGGTAGCGTCCATCAGTCTTTGCCTTGCGGTGGAAATCTATGGGCCAAAAAGTCTTGAGAATCACTTCTTTATTTAAAAACAAAAAAACAAAAAAACCCCTATTCTTCAAAAGAAGGATAGGCAAACATGAAAACACACAACCCTAACATTTTGGTATACTTTTGTCATTCCTTATTTGTTTTTCTGGGTGAGTACTCCTCCCCTGAAAGGATTTCCTCTAGTCCTCCATGGCAAAAAGTGATTTCCTTTTTCGTTCTCATAGCATTATTTGTACCTTTGTGTGGGGACCGCCCCAAGGTAGGAGCTGTCTTGTGTATCTTGTGGAACTTTGCATCTGCTTGAGGCATCAGCAGAGTACTGTGGCCAGCCAGATGGCAATCTATCACTAAATGCTGTTATTTTGTATTTATCTCCCACTAGATTATGGTGACAAGCGAGATAGCACTTTATCTAGCACTGACTTTTTATGGGCTCGTAGAGGAAGAAAAACTTAAATTTCCCCCCCTCTACTTTCCTGGGTTCTCAGCTGGGGCCCTATAAATTAGACTGACAAAAGACAGATTGGGGCGCCTGGGTAGCTCAGTCGGTTAAATGTCAGCCTTCGGCTCAGGTCATGATCCCAGGGTCCTGGGATTGAGCCCTGCATCGGGCTCCCTGCTCAGTGGGGAGCCTGCTTCTCCCTCTGCTGCTGCTCTGCCTACTTGTGCTCTCTCTCTCTGTCAAATAAATAAATAAAATCTTTTAAAAAAAAAGATTAACAGGAGAAAAAAAGAGCTGGTTAACATGTGCATCGTGGAGACACGTAGGAGTACCCAGTGATGAGTAACTCAAAGTGCCGGTTAGAACTTGGGCTTATATGGCATCTAAATAAAAGAACAATAAGCTCAGAGAAAGGTGACAAGACCAGAGAAAAGGACTTTGAGCCTCTGGGGTGGCAGATCTATGGGGAACTAATGGAAGATATGGCTGGTTTGTCAAGTTTGTCACGAAGATCCCCCTGGTGCCCTTTGTGTGCCCCCCCGGGTGTACTGTTGTCTCTGGTGATTAACTTCTGTCCTTCCTCGTCGGTGGGGTGGGAGGGATGGGGGACATCTTTACAAATTGATGTCCTGCTTTAAGGCAAATGGGGAGGGGCAGAGAGCTCTTCTGGTATTTGCTTCTCCGTTGTTGCCTTTAGCTCAAAATAATTCTCATGCCCCAGTGGCCTGTTTGGGGGTGGCATATTCTGCCATCCTTCAACACCTTGTTCATGATTTGCAAATAAATGTTTATTGAATTTAATTAAACTGAAAGCAAAGGCAACCTGCCATTTTCTAACTGGAGTCTGCTGAATAATTTACCCTGTGCAGTGGACTAAATAGATGGAACGCTCTGTGAGCTTCAGACAGGCCCAGAGGAGGGATACCGGCTGAGCCAGGAGGCCAGGGCTCCTCACCCGGCTTTGCCTCTGATTTACCTGCAGGGATCACTTCTTCCTTTTGGGAAGTCGGGGAGACATAATCAAGAGATGGCTAGAAAAACACGTTGAGTAAAGTTTAAAGCGTTATACAGATACAAGGTGTTATTACTTCCTGTAAAAGCTCCAGTAGCAAACGTTTATGATGAGCATTTAGTAAATGTTGGCTCGTTAGCCTTAGATACTGTTTATGCCCCAAATAATTCAGCCATAATACTTGTGCAATACTTCCTCACAGGTACGAATTAGGAGCTGCTCTGTTTATTGGATGGGCAGGAGCCTCACTCTGCATAATTGGCGGTGTCATATTTTGCTTTTCAATATCTGACAACAACAAACCTCCCAGGTATGAAAAAGAGACAAAGATGACCTGTTAAAATTATTACAGGTGTGGCAAATTATAGATTGTTCACACGATTCTTAGAAACATCAAAAAACTAGGATTGATTGAAGTTAGGAATATATAGTGAATGTAATATTAAATAAGATAAATACAGTGAAGAGAATAAATATATAGTTAAGTTAATTTAAAAAGTCAGAGCTCATCCTTCTTACATTCCAGAGCCATTTCTGTGAGCAAAACGATAGGGCTTACCGTGGGGCATATTCTTCACTGTGGCCTCACCGTTTTCACATAGGCAGAGATTCCTGATGAAGGTCAGTACTGTCCGCCAGGGTCCAGGAAGATGAGTTTTAAAAGAGAAAAACTGAACAGATGATGAACAAGCCACGAGTTTCTTCTGCTGAGATTCGCACTGACACACTGTTCAGAAATGACAGGGAGATATTTGCGGGGGCTGGGTGGTGGTGAGAGAGAAGGAGAGAGAGAAGCTCACTAGCAGTAAGCAGGGAAAGTCTGCAGCTTTGCTGGGACAGAAGCAGGGGGTAATGGTTTCTGCCCTCTGTGTGCAGTAGGACCTACCAGACTGTGTTTTGCCTTGCAGAATGGGATACGCATACAATGGGGCCACGTCTGTCCTGTCTTCTCGGACAAAGTATCATGGCGCAGAAGGAGGTTTTAAAACCACAAACCCTTCAAAACAGTTTGATAAAAATGCTTATGTCTGAAAAGAGCACTGCTGTGAGCTGTCTTGAGTTATTATAAAAGTGAACTGTTCACAAAATGATCCCCCCTCAAGGCCTTCCTCTAATTCACACTCAAAACTATTTTTAAAACATGAATTTGGAGAATTTGCTGATTGTACGGATGTAAATGTTCTAATCATTTTCTGTTGTGGCTTTCTATAAAAAAAATAAACAGGTTATTTACAGGATTTGTATATATTTTATATATTTATAGAGCATGGGAAGTATTTAGCACCAAGGGATCAAGTATTTGTATTGGAGCCTCCTTGATCATTCAGACGTGGCATTCTTTGTCCCCATTCCTTGTTTCTTTTCCTTCATATATTAAACAGAAGGTGTATAAGAAGTGGTGTCTTGTGAACAGCGTGGGGGCAATCTGAGACCGTTCCTCAAAAGATGTTTGGGTTGAATGGACAGGTTACTGGCTGTGTCGCGACGACTTCCAGTTTCTTACACCTGTTTGTCACCACTGTGATTCTCAGTGACCGCTCAGGAAGGGCTAATGGGGCCAAGACATTGCCTGGCACGTCCGCCTTAAAGAGCTGCTGAGACTTTTCTGAAACAGAAAGCAGCAGATTCTGGGCTGGAGGGTCAGCACGAGCCTGGCTGGAGATGCGGGTCACGGCTGACTTTGGAGCCAGCCGAGGAAGGTCCCAGAGCCTGCATGGCACCTGCCTCGCTCACAACCTATGGCTGAGTTCTGGTGTGTCTCTCGGGCCCTGAGTGCACAACCAAGCTGGGTAATGGAGAGACTTACCATTTTTCAAGGCATGTAAGTTGCCCCAGTGATCTCTGAACAGCGTGAAAGACTTAAAAAGGAAAATCACATTATTTGGAGATGTTCAATGGGAAGAAGAGGAAATAAACAAGTTTGTTACTAAAAAAATTATATGTATATTATATAGATACATATATAATATGTAATATATAATATATAAAATAAATATGTAATTTATAAAATAGTAAAATAAATATAAGTATAAAAATATATACTATATATATAATATATATATATAAATATCTCTTCTAGGGATACAAATGAACCGAAAGCCACAAGGGAGGTTCGGTGCTACAGGCCAGTGTGGGGGCAGGATTTTATGGGTGTGTGTTTAAAGGCAAGTTTTTTATTTCAGAGCTGTGCTGGTGAAGGTAATGTTTAGATTGTACTGAAGCATTCTAGCTCCTGAAGAATTCAGGGAGAGGAGGGGGGGGTGAAAGGACAGAAAAGCTCTGTCGGGAACCGCAAACATGTTAGCTGTGCATCAGTGAGGGGAAACACAGGGTCCGAAGAAAATCGAACAAACCACATCTCCGAGGACAGCGTGGTAGGACTAAAGAGAGGAGTTAAAGGAGTGGCTTTTGCAACACAGATGTGCCGACTTAATTTAAATACTGGGTTTGTGTAGCAGTTCATCCCATTTCCTCTCCCCTTTCCGTCAGGAGTGAAGACGGGGAGCTTAGAGACCGGGGTAAAGCCTGCTCTTGTCACTTTCAAGTCGTATGGCTTTTGGCAAGTTACTTAATTCTGCATTTCTCACATCTTCAGGATGAGGTTATGATATTCACTGTGTCCCAGAGTTGTTCTGATTAAATGAACTATGCGTGTTAAAAAAGCAAAATCGGGGCACCTGGGTGGCTCAGTCGGTTGGGCGTCTGCCTTCGGCTCAGGTGGTGATCTCAGGGTCCTAGGATCGAGCCCAGCATCAGGCTCCCTGCTCTGCGGGGAGCCTGCTTCTCCCTCTCTTCTCTGCTCCTCCCCACTGCTTGTGCACTCGAGCTCGCTCTCTCTCAAATAAATAAAATCTTAGAAAAAAAGCATACTACGCCCACGTAGTTCAATAAATAAATACCTGTTGAAAAAGTGATCGAATGAGCACAGTGGCCCGTGTGCCTTCTTGGGCACGGTGTGGCTTTGGTGTGTTGCGTATCTCTGTCCCCCTGTATGGAGGTTTGATTTGGCATTTATTAAAGCTCTTACATGGAAAGTGAGTGCGTTTCCATAAAATGGCCCCTGTGGGAAGTGCTTAAAAGGGTGCAAGTGGACGAGTGAAAAGGACCCTTGGGGGCAGAAACATAAACTGTTGTGACTTCAGATCAGGATGTGGCATGATTCACAGGGCGAGCCTAACCCCTAACAAGGTAAGCTTGGCTCAGAACTCATCCTTAATGACTCAGCCACAGTCACGATGACGTAATGGAGGGCTTTACTTGAAAGATTGGCAAATTGAAAAGAGATCCAAAACCCAACAGACTATTAGTTAAAAGGTTCCTTTTTTTTTGGAAACCGGAGTACAGATAGTAGCACAAAGTATAAAAAAATGCAAAAAACAGTTTATGTGAACTTTCTGACCATTGACAATTGTTAAGAACGGAACTAATTAGTTTTGAGGTATTTTATAATATGGGTTGGGCGTTTGAAGAAAGTGGAATAAAAACCCACATACACATATGAATTCAGTAATGACTCAATCTTTTCTATTCGGATTCTGATTGAAAACAGCTACATTTTCTTCATAAAAATGTCCAAGGCAAAGATTATACTGCAGAAATGGTATTTAATGTTCTAAAATAATTGTTTAATACAACATGCTTACAACGGCTCCAAGTGGCGTATGATACACATACTTCTGGAAAAGGTATTTAATATGGGCCTAGCTATATTTTTATAATTCTAAACTTATTTCTATATGAAAAATAACCAATCTACTCTTAAGATTTCATTGATTTCACTAATTCAAGTTTAAGCATACTAACAGAATTTTGTAATAAAACACTTCCAGTGTGATAACGCACATAAGAAACATATAAAAAAAAAGTTTTTAATTCAAACCAAAACCTATAAGTTTAAAAAAAATTCACTTAAAAATTAGTTGAAAAAATACACTTAAACACTAGAGTACCGTTCTGAAGAAAAAACTTTTTATGACTTAAAATGATATATTAATTTTAAGCAGCAGAAGTCTTAAACACCCTCTATATGCTTCAAAATACTGTTGACAATTTGTTTTTCAATACTGAATTAGGTGCTGTTAAAGAGACCCTTGTTCTCTGAATCAGCTTCCTTGTTACTGTGGGAAATACTGTAAGGCAGGAGCGCTAGAATCTTGTGGGCAGATTACTGGAATCCCATTGGCATCTGCACCTTCTGACTCTGAGGCTGTGGTTATACATCTGAAGAGTCGCTCCAATCAGTCACAGTTACTAAGCTGCTTTTCAGCGTGCTGGATTCATCTTGAAGTCCTGTGGAGGGAGAGACGGAAGGAGGAAGAGGAGCTTCAACGATCAGACAAGTCTGTAAAAATCCCCTATCACTCAGTGTCCAGGTCTGTTGGCTGATCTGCAGGCCCCCAGCTCCCACAGGCTGTGGAGGAAGGTCAAGTGCAATCTGACCACGAAATGGCCACATCTCCAGGATACCATCAGGGGCCCTTGTCTAGAGGCTCCCACTTGGCATCTCTCCTTCCCTTCATTCAGCACAGGGCCAGGATCCTTAACCATGCTCAGTAACGTTCTGTTGTTACTGACTCTGACTGACAGGTGTAAAGAAAGGAGAATAAAAGTATAATAGGCCAAGTAGGAGCTGAATGTTAAATAGGGGTTTTCTAGGATTGATGGGCTTTAATATGAAGCACAGATAACCTAGTGGCGGGCACCATGTAGAAGTAAAGGCACGGCTCACATTCTGGAGGAGAGGAAAGGTGACTTGGAGGGCAGACAGCAATGGCTCATCTTACAAAGTGAGGTGGCGAGAGATCCTGCTGAAAATGGGAAGGACAGATAGGTTCGCACGTACTAATTTGAAGTACAGATGGGGGCACAAAAAGACCCAACGGGGGTCAATGAGAGGTGTCGTGAGTGCGGGAAATGAGCCACACCCCTATCTGTCTTAGCAGGACATCAACAGTTCATGTCTAAAGTTGATGAGTCTGGAAACTGTAGTCTGACCTACTACTGAGAGATGTGGTGGAACTCGGGGCGCCACACAGACCCGAGGACGGATGCTGCAGCTGGGGGGAGAGGCACTGACAAGCCCTTCTGGACGACCTGGCCAGACCCTAGGACTCAGCCAGGAACAATGTCAACTCCGGGTTTCATCTGTAATTCATCCCACTGGCTATAATGTTGCAAGAGAAATCTTTCTTCAAAGAAAATAAAGAGAAACATTTAATGTGTACAGAGATCAACGAAGGAAGACTGCCAGAAGAATGGCCCCATTCAGGTGTAAGAGCAGAAATTTTAATTTCTGCGAGGCATCTGCATGAAGAGAATATTTGCATGGGCATTTTCAAAAATAATATTACAATTTAAAGACTAGGTCCAAATTAAATAAATATACACAGATTAAAGGACTTTAAAGGGGAATAAATGTGCACAAAGCACACGGTATTTGTTATATCGTGTGCTTTGTGAAAGCATCAAGGTATTTATTATACCAACAGCGTTTCTGTCTGATGATATATTAACATAGCTTCATTAGATATCTATAAAGATGAAACAAATAACTGGAAAATGGACTGAGTGTCAAGACACTAAAGCCACGAACCTTCTCCTTTTGGCCCCTTCGGATTAGACGCACCCCAGGCGCTTGGCACTTGAGTAGAATTTGACTCATTCTTCACAGGTAGAGGTTCCCTCTGTTCTCTCCCAGTTTTCTTCCCCAGAGATCTTTCCTCCTCTATGGAGGATATGTCCCAGTCATCATCCTCCACATCCGCACACTGAGAGAAAACATGGAGAGCAATGAGGGTTTCTTTTTTTTTTTTTTTTTAAAGATTTTATTTATTTGAGAGAGAGAGAATGAGAGAGAGCACATGAGAGGGGGGAGGGTCAGAGGGAGAAGCAGA